AGGAGCTTTCAAGCGAGCTTTCGTGACCCATCGGAATGCAGTGACCACCGCTGTGAAAAGAATTTCCAGGACGAGCGAGCGTAGTGGAAATGAGAAGGCAGAGATGCTGAAAGAAGATTTGGAGAGAAACGTGACGTTGTGTCTCCACAACAGCTTCTGTAGAAACAGAGAATCAAACGTGGATCCCCTACCTTGCTGTAAACAGAGGGTGGAAGAGCAGAAGTGTTGGAGGACGGCTTCCAACAGCGTCAGGATAGTCAATGACGTGCTACAAGACACGGAGACCGAGAGTGCAGAGTCAGCGTCACAGGAGGAGGAAATGGAGCATTGATGAATGGTCGAGAAAACAAGAGGCAACAAGAAAGAAAATTAGAAGAATTTAGAAGTTTTAGAACTTCTAAACGACGAAAAAAGAAGAGAACAAAGGGATGATGAAGAAAAGTTAAAACTCAAAATTGTTTTATGTGTGTGAAAAACTCAAATGAGAAACCAAGCAACCAAGTTGTAATTGAAAACTGAAACATTTAAATTGAGTTTGGAAATTGTTGCATTTATAAATTTGCATTTTGGTTTTAGTTGAAGTGGCTTTAGAGACACTCACTTATTATTTATTTAGAAAGGCTTGAGGGAAGAGTATATTTAAATATTCCAGCCTGCATGATTGTTTTTAATCACTTAGGAAGACTGATCACTTTGTGGTGACATGAAAAACTTGAGTAACTTCTTGAGGAGGGAGGTTGTTGCATTGTTCTTTCTAACCACAAAGTTCCTTAGTTTTAATATTCAGGACAATAAACAAGCAAGGTTTCCGAAGGGAAGGAGCATAGTAGGATAATTTTAGCTTGTTGGTTGGCAGGACTGTCCTGCAAGCCAACACCTTTTAAATCTAGGAGAAAAAGTTTCAATCGGGATATTGACACTGGAAGTCAGAAAATATGTTTTATCTTAAGTCATATCCTCAATGTGCAGATTAATGAAAGAATTTGAAGGCTATAGTGATGTAGGATGATGCCATTTATATTCTGCAGTGAGTCGATGTGACGTAGGTAAAAGTAATTTCGTGCATTTTGTAAATTCTGTTCGATGACACTGTAACCACTTAGAACATTGCGCGATTCAATGAGGACATTGACCGGACTGTCCGGGGAGTATGTGACATTCGACCAGAATGGCCAAAATGCAGTCTCTGCAGAATTCGGTATTTTAGCAGCAAGCCTTCCGAATTGGCGATTTAGAACGGATAAGGACGTTATTTGAACGATTAGCCAAACGGTGAAGGCTAGAAGATTCTGGAATTCTAATTTTTAAAAATTCGAATTATGACGTCATATTTCTGAGAAACGTCAGAAACGGCCATTTTTAGCTAAAAGAGCAAGAAAAAACAGAACAACTTTTATCTGCGATTACGAACAGTACGAAATCGAGACTAAAAAACTACAACGAACTACCGAACAGCAGAGGACGTTCCGAGTTGCAACTATTGTGCTGTTACAATAGTTGCGGGGCCGTTGCGAGCAACGGTGAAGGGTAAAACCCAGCCTTCCGAGTTATTGTGAACTGGATATTAAGAAGCTTGATTCACCGGATTCAAGAATCCGGAAGGGTCTCGGGACGTGGACTTTTATGAACTTATATTGAATTTTAGTATCCGTCATGTCCTGACTTGAATTTAATTAAGATCTTAATTCGTTTTGACAAGAATGAGGAGCTAGAAGTAGGGGGGAAAGGGTTGATCCATCTTCGATGGAGATGATGATTTTTATCTACTGAACAAAAACAATAGTAATATAATAAGTAGTAGCCCTGTTTTTAGGAGTGACCTCGTGGTCTGGGGATACTGAGACCCAGCCATGAGCTCACTAATTTTGCATGTAATCTAGTTAATTTGAGCGTTCTGGTCGAAGCCGGAGAACAGTAACGTTTTTGTCAGCCTGATGTAGGAAAGACCACCGAAAAGTACTGGCTTGGTAGAGACGGTGAAAAACATGCAAAGCTCTGTTTAGACGCTAGCCAGTCGTCTTAAGACTTAGTTTTGTTATCCGTCGATATGTATCTTCCGGGCGAATGTTACAGGAACCTGTCATGCACGATTTTCTCGCGAGAACTGAAAATCAGAAAAAGAGATCAGAACAGTTGAATAACAATCGCGGGAAAGTTGCTAGAAAAATCGGTGGGAAATTGCTATTCGCAATTTCAATAGCAATAATAACCTAGAGTAGAGCTGTCCCATCTGAAACAGAGACGAGAGCATTCCCACGAATTGGATTGTTACGATTGGAATACTATTATTGACTGGACTAGAGTGAACCTTCGGTGGAAAGGTGGACAGCTTGAGTGTCCCAATGGTTCACGAGAACTTGCAGTCTAGAGTAAAAACTTGTTCTTGTTGTTAAAACTGACTAACATTAAACTCATATTAGTTACTTTATTAATTCTTGAGTTGTTTACCGACTTATTTACTTCCTGGTTCTTGAGCGTGCTACAATGTGAGTACTTAATTTAAATTCCTAGAGTGTGTTTTATAATTGTTATGTTGAGGTAAGGCGAGTTTTAGGTTGATCCATCTGAAATGGATCAGAGTTACACTGTCTAATAAAAAGTAACTTAACGGATTGTTCCAACCCGGTTTTTAACGGCGTTCATGTATTTTGGGTATCTAGAGACCTAAGTATGGGGACGTTTCTAATTCTAGAGTGGGGGGATATTTTAGTAGTAGCCTTTAAGCTGTAACGGGCCGTAGTCTCATGTCACAAGCGAACCGAACTGGCTCCGACCGTTCTTGAGGTGGAAAAACACAAGAGATAGTGTCCCTGACCCTTGAGCCAGTGGTTATAGGGCCTATTTTTCTTAAGCCTCATGTGTGACTACAGTAGACGAATGTTACATGGGGGGATGATTTTGATTATTTGGATTTGTTTTGTTTCTGTCGTCGATTTGTTTGCTGTTAGCCCATTTCTTAATTTTGTCTCCGTTTCAATCAGCACTTCATGAGTAAATGGTAGTTGAAATTCCGTCAGTTGTTGTTGACTCATGACTTGGTTTTACTCAATGGGGGCAAAAAAGCCTTCACCCGGAGATATACTTGAAAAAAATTAGATTTTTCTCTTTCAAAATGTAGTAATCAGAAGGCAAAAACATCTATCTCAGCGTTATTGTTTTTTACCATTTTGTTTATGAATGATTCGAATTAAAGGGAGTTTCAAAATGACATGAGAGCGTTAAAAAAAAACAATTATCTTATAGTTTTTTGATGCCATTTAATCAACTTTTCATTTTGTTTTAATTAATATATTTACTAATAATGTTTGAAATCAGTAGAAAATTTTAGAGATCTACTTTAAGAATTGATGTATGCAAAGTTAGCGGCTCAAAAAAATGAAATTGATAGGAAAATTATCTCGTTTTCGTGTGATTTGTAAAATAATTTATTAATTATTTTTTAAAGTTTTTTACGACCTTACCTTTGATACATACAACGGTTCTAGATGCGGAATGATTTGGAACTTTTGATTTGTAATTTTCTAAGCCTACAAAGATCGTAATTTTCAGCTTAATTGTTTTAGTTTTGGTTTGCTATATGTTATGGGACAGATAGAAATATGCAACCTAAGAGATAGTAACATTTAGAATCGTCAATCTAATTGAAATTAATCTATTTTTTTAAAGGCTCTCCAATTGAAATTAATAAACTTTTATTAAATTGAGGAAATTCTTAAACTTTTTTTTCAAATCAATGTTAAACATAACATGATGTTAGTTTTCAATTTATGTCTAATTTGCTCATATCATTTGAAACCATGGCGATTGTCATGCTTGTTTTATTGATTAGTCCATATATTTCAATCTTTTTTCTTCTGCGCTTTAAATTTTTCCGCTCTTGAACCGTTCTGCCCTGTGTACCCTTCCTAGCCGGCAGTATTAGTTAATTTCTTTTGTGTACAAACTTTAATGATTATGTTCATGAGCCCAAAAAGGAAAAGTTTTAGCCTCGCTAAAAGTATGATTTTGGTGCTTGGCGAACTTTTAGTTTTGATTAATAGTCTCCTGCAGTTAGGTTCACTCTATAATTTTCTTTTTTTTTAAAAAAAAAAAACGTTTGTCAAACAATCGATCTTTGTGAAAAAAGTCCCTCCCCGCATTTCAGTAAATTGCAATCACCCCCCATTAAATAGTTCAGAGAGGCAAATAGACATGCAGTGTCAAAGCATGAATGTGCGCATAACTCGATGAAGTGCTTAATTCAGTATTAACAAAATATGAATGCTTTTTTATGAATGCAGTAATGATTAGGGAAAGCATATCGATTATCTCAAACTCAAATAAAACCGACAAACTGCAATCAAATAAGCGGCGACATGTACACGATATAGAGCTGAATTCGGTTGTTTTCCACCATCGACTGCGAAATCGAGTTTCAAATTGACGTCAATAAGATTGAATGACATCTCAAACCAATGTCGTTTTAATTATAGTTTTTTGGGGGATTACGCTTTTATAGTTTGAACTGCATCGAGAAGTTCACAACGTTTTCAGCGTCTAGAAAAACAACTTGAAGTTTTTACTTTTAGGTTGGATCAAGTCGAATCACAGAGAGTTGCCCTTTCTCATCTGAAGCAAGAATTATCAATTTCTCGCGGGAATGAAAAGTTATTGTTTAAGATTTTCGCTCTGAAAATGCAATAAATTTTTGTGAAGATTCGAAAAAAAATTTTGAATGGAGAAAATTCAAATGTTCTTTGTTTTTGTTGAAAAATTATATTCATTTGAACAAATTTTTGCTTTCTCTCAACAACCTCCTAATCTTATTGTTTTGTTGCATCTTAAAATAGATGGTAGTTCATGTACGGGGTCTCAAAGGCCAATGGGTTGCAAAATAAGGCCCACTTTTTTGGGGCTTACGCCATCCAGCAGGATTGTGGCAGCTAATGAAGAGATATATTTTTCGGAATTTCAGATCGTCACATCTTATCAACTTATCTAGAAGTTCTTTGCTTTTTCAGATACGAAATGCCAGAAGAACCAAAAACAGTTAAAGTTTACGCTAGAATCCGACCCACAGATAACTTCGCCTATGAAAACGTTGTTTTGAACTCGGATGGAAAGGTTTGAAGATTTGTTTTTGAACATATGACATCAAAAGATGTAAAACCGCAATTCCTTTTCTTCCTGCACTTCAATACTTTTTCTATGTACTCATTGGTCACGATAGACTTTTTGAGCGATTTGCACTGCAGTCCGGTACTTTTGCTCCATTATTTATATTTAAATAGCGCCATTTTGGAAATATATTTGTATTTTTTTTAATGAGCTCATTAATGTGGTTGCTGTCAAATCTCGATATCTTTCAGTTTTTGTCTGTACACTAGGAAAATACTGAAATGATGGGTTTTTAGGATCAGAGTGAAAGGACAAATTTAAAATAATTGCGAGAGTAAGTGCCTTGTAATAGGTTACAAAAAAAAACAACAAAAAAAATTCTTTTCCCCCGTTAGATGTTTTGTTCATGGAATTCGCACTTACGCAGGTTGCACGTTACACATTACCTTATTATTGAATCCAATTAATTTTCTGCTAAAATGCGCAGTTGTTGTAGAGGAAAAATTGTTGTAGAGGAAAAAGTAGAGGACTTGTCTGCTGTGTGTACATAATTCGAGATCCTGTCAGGTCTTTTCGCAAATTACCTTTGAAGGTTTTTCCAAATTTTAATTAGAAATATTGTATTTCAAATCTGTCTAATGGTTTTCGCCTCAAACATGAACGGATTCGTTTCCGAGATTTGTGCTTCTATTTTACTACAAGTTCTGAACTGAAGATGGCTCAGAAATTGTGTCCAGGTTTTTAACAATTATGGATCAACCCAGATTGTTTGGAAATATTTATTCTGACCACGCCCTCTTTAGGGCTGGAAAAAGCTATGTGTTAGTTGGGTGTTGCAATCTAGTAATATACTTTTTTTCTCTACTTGTTAACAGAATAGGCAGTTTAGTAGGAGAGGTAATTTTGACTGCTGACAAATAGGTTTCTTGTTTCTTGTTTGAAAAAGTTTTTTTTGTTTGGCTTCAAAAATGTTCCGATCACACTAATATAAGAAAAAAATCAAAGATGAAGAAGTCATTCATTATCAAAAATACGTTTTTATTTTTTTCCAGTAATTTTTTCATTTTTTTTTCATAGTTTTATTTTTGTTTGTATTTTCACGTAGAACTAGCATCGCAAAATAAATGTTTTGTGTGACTGTTAAAACTGGATATAATGCAAACATGTATATTTAAGACACAACATCATCTGAAATAGTCATCACTGATGTTACTGCAATTAACAAAACTTATTTACACATTCTAACACTGCACGGAAATGATAAATTTAAGAAATGTATGAATGAGATGCAAAATTAACCCACCTCAAGTGTTACATTACTGGAGAGCGCAGGGACACCAGCAAATGAAAACATTATGCAGAGCTCTAACACATTGTGATTTGTGTTTCCTACAGTGAAACACACAACGCATATGAAGTGATTAGCTGTTAAAATAGGATGAAAGCACACACAAATGAATACATTATACACATGACGAACACCACAACAAGTACTACACACATTACACACTGTGCGAAGCAGTTTTCAACAAGTTTATGAGGTTTTGCTCCATTCCCGACTTCTTTGTCAGACAATCGGCATATTGGCGAGTCGTTGGCACACAATTGACGCGGGAGACTTCACCAGACTGCAGAAGCTCCTGGATAGAACTGATTTCCACGCGCAAGCGTTTTTCTAGGACAGTTTTTGATGAGTACAACGACTCAAAAAGCTGTTTGCTGTCGACATAACCGTTGATTCTTAGTTTCAAACCTGTGATGAACTCGAGTATCTGTGCTAAAAAAATAGTTGCATCGAGTCCATCTTGCAGGTCCAAAGTCTCTGCTGCTAGGGTGCTTCTGGCAATTCGCTCAATCTTTCTAGACGCCCAAGCAAGAGGGTGGCATTTTCTCGTCTCGGGATTTGCCAGTATGGTCAAAAAACCTCCTTGAGACCCACCGTCACCCAAATTTTGAAATGAGGCATCCGTGAACACTTCAAGAACGAGGTTTTCAGGCTCTCCAAGCATGGGAAACGCTAGAGTCATATCTTTGGAATACTTCAAACGCCTGAGACACTTGTTTGCGACTCTGAGCCTCTCTGTATCTACGTTTCTGATGTCGCATGCTAGTGAGTAGGCGTAAAAACTCAAATCTGGTCTCGTTTGACCAGCAGTCCATTGCAATTGACCTATGGCGCCCCTGAAATTGGAAATTTCGTCTTCAGTTAGAGGTCTATTGTGCTTTGGATAACTCTAGTCGGTTATCTCGATTTCCTCGATGAAAGTACGCTGATCTATGGTAAGACAATCCTTCACGGGGTCTTTCTGTATGTTAATACCTATGAACTTCAACGGGCAAGTGGAGTGTTTTCCGACTGTGAAACCGCTGTCCAACTTCGGCATCACTTCTTCCACAAAACTCCGCGTTCCGGCAAAAAGAAAATCATTGACATGAAGTATGACTAGGCCGCTCAGTACTTTTGCATCTTGATATATGAAGAGCGCAGGCTCAAACGGACATCTGGCAAAGCCAAGATCACACATTTCCGAGCTCACCCGAATAAACCACTTCTTCGAAACGTCTTGTAATTCGTATACGGGTTTCAAAAGTTTCCAGAGCACATTTCTACTGTATTTCACTTCTTTGGGAGGTCTGATAAACAAGGGTCTCTACAGGCTTCCGCCTTGTAGAAATGCGGCTTTCACATCAATTGAATGGGGAATCCAGTTATGCAGGCTAGCAACTGAGATAAAGACTTTCACCAGTTCTTTGGCAACCACCGGCGATTGCGTCTCATATTTCGGCAGTTTTTCCCCTTCAAATCCTCTCACTACTAATCTAGCTTTTGGATTGAAGGAACCGTCATCATTCTGACGCATCGATAAAACCCATCTTGTGGACATCAAGGGTTTCCCCGCGTTCTGGACTTCCATGTACACATCTCAATTCTTCTACGACTCCAACTCTTTCAATTTCGCAGTTTCGAATGTTTCTTCGCTGTTAGAGGAATCTGAGACAAAAAATTCTTTCGCGACAGTCTTATCGGTTGTTCCATTGACTTCACCGACACGTTCCCAAGATGACACATCTGTGGAAAAGTCAATTTTTCCTAAAGAACCCGCGAGATGAAGGGTTTTCTCGTACTGTATGTTCCAGCAGTTCTTGTATCTGCCCTTAGCTTTTCCTGCAGGTCCCAAAATCTTCACTTGATACTTCTCTCCGGCAAGCTCCGAACTTTTAGCGGTGAACTTGACTGTTTGATGTCGTTTAGGTCGTTTTTCTGTTAGGTTCTCGAATCCTCTCCTAAAATCAGTTACGGAATCGCCATTTGTGGTCTCAGTTTGAACAGAAGCCTCACCTAAGTCAGCAGACTCACAGAATTCTGGTTGTTCCGCCTGGAATTCAGCAGGTTCGTCAGCTTCACGTAATTTGTTTTCCTCGATAGTCTGATGGTCAACAGACTCTTCAGTTTCAGGTTTTTTGGAGTTATTTTCCGTATTCTCCTGTTTCTCATCTCGTGAGAGAACAACATCGCTTCCTTCTATGGCCTGTACGTCTGTGGAATGCACTCTGGGAACTTGACCTCCTTGTCTCAGAAACACGATACTGCTGTCTACGCCGGTGACACTCGCAGGACCATGCCACTTTTTGTCAACAGAGCGCCTAAAAAACACTTTTTCTCCGTAAGAAACTTGGCGTTCTTGTTTTCTGACGTTGTGTCTTAATGCTCTTCTAATTTTCTCGCAAGACTCGGACTTCAGGTACTCTATTCTTGTTTTGTGGAGCAAAACAATATGGTCTGCAACAGTTTTTGAAAATACATAGCCTTCTAGAGCTCGCAGCTTGTTGTCGATATTCACGGGGATTAGAGGGCTTCTCTTCATCACAATTTGGGTCGGCGTATAACCATGGTTGTTATAGAGGCTGTTCTTAGCGAAGCAACTGTACGATAGACAGTTCTCAATGTCAAGGTTTGGGTGATCAATCCTGACTTTTTCAAGGATATGCGATAGTGTATCATTCTGGCGTTCACAGATCCCGTTGCTGAAAGGCGAATAGGCCGCGGTGGTTTTTACAACTAGATTGAAATTTTCACACAGACTTCGCATTATCTCATTGCTGAATTCTCCTCCGTTATCAGTCACAATTGCATGTTCTGGGGAACGAAATAAGCCAATCCAATGCTTCAAAAACATATGAGCAATAACTTCAGCTTTTTTGATCTGACAGGAACAGCAACACTGAATTTCGCAAATGTGCAGATGATATGAAGATACCAGAGACCTTTTTTGATTTCATGAAGGTCCATATCCACACACACCATTGAACCTAGTACTATTGGGTAAACCCACATCTGGTTTCGGTGGTCTTTTAGCTGTCGTTCTGCATATCTCACAGTCTGAAACAAACTTTTCGATATCATTTCTGGGAACCTCGTGACCCGCATTTCTGAGCAGTAGCTATAAAGCATTTGCCGAACAGTGTGCAAACTGTAGATGCAATTTCTTGACGTCAATTTTGTCTGTTTCACCTCTTGTTGTCACCAAAACACTGTTCACGCTACCTGGCTGCAACAAACGTAACAAATAGTGTGCAGAAACAGTGGTTTCCAGCTTGATACGTTTACCAAACACTGTCAACGTATCACTTGCTAGATTCAACAGAAAACCAGCTTTCTTCATGGCTTTTTTACTCAGAAGAAGAGGAAGACTCCCGTCAATCGCATCACAGGTAATCGTACAGTTTCTTCCAGCAATGACAACAGTAATTGTTACTTCCATCACAGCTGGTTGTTTTTTCATGTTCCCGAACATTATTTGTGTCCGGCTATCCCGTGATTGGACCTGTTTCCTCTGTTCTTCAGTCAAAGAACTCAGAAAAACATCAAGCCAAGAAACACTACAACTGCTGTTGTTACAGGCGGTATCAATAACTGCTTGGTTTTTGCAATCAGCGAGAAGACTGTTACCAGTAGCTAAAGCAATTGTGACATATGATTCACGTTCTCAACTGAAGCTCGTTTTCAACTGAAGAACACTGAAAAGCCTGTTCATCTTTTCTGTCATCATTTTTCTCGTTGTCGGGGCAATCTTTGACTCAGTGAAAAATTGAGCCACAGTGGGCGCATCTAGACGTTTTTCCGTACTCATTCTTCGGATTTACACGTTTTGAGACACCGGATGCTGTTTTTTTGTTCTGATAGCTCGATTTCGGATTTTTATGTCTACTTTTTGTCATAAAGGCTTCACTTTTGATAATCAAATCGTCATTGTTTCTCGCGTTCTCTGTGATTGCACTAAAAATCCGTCTCATCGAAACTTTCACTTCTTCAAATTTCAGCGTTTTAGCGGATGTAAATCTCATCTGTTTCTCTTTTGCATCAATGCCACTGCCTGCCAGAAGTATACAGCCAAGAATCTCTTCTGGTAACGCCATTTTAAGGCTTTATACTTGCGACATTTTATACTTGCGCTCGAACTCCAGAATAAAGTCCAACACAGACAAACTTCTTAAGGCTTTATACTTGCGACATTTTATACTTGCGCTCGAACTCCAGAATAAAGTCCAACACAGACAAACTTCTTCTTTGGAATTTCTCGAACTCCATTTACGTGGCAAACGAGCTGTCAACAGTTTCCTGGCGAAAACTGTTATCTAGAACTTTGAAAAGTTCATCAAGAACATTGTCAGAGTTCAGAACTTCAATGTCAATTTCTGTTGCGACTTCTCGATACTTGTCAGTTAACGATAGTGTTACAGCTAACGCTTGCTTCTTCTTTGGAGCTCTGTTACTCTCTGCCAAATCTCGATTTCACGCCTCCATGAGTCATAGGACGTGTCTGGCCCAAGAAGAGGTGGTTTGTACGTCGCTGTCATGCTGCTACCATCGTTAAAACTGGATATAATGAAAACATGTATATTTAAGACACAGCATCATCTGAAATAGTCATCACTGATGTTACTGCAATTAACAAAACTTAGTTACACATTCTAACATGACTGTTTTTGGTCTATTTTAACTTTCAATTTAAAAAAATTTCCTTTGATTTTTGGAATTTTTCGTAGGATCGGGATTAACGCTAATATTTAAACTGTTTCATCCGTCGGATCCTGTTTTCTCATCTTTTGAAGGTTTAGTTCTGAGAGTAATGAAATGACGTTTAATTTTTTGGTAATTTGATAGATTTTTCCTAAAAACTGTCAATGAGCTGTGTCAATCAACACATTGTTATTTTAAAATAGTTTTCTCTACTCGACTTATAAATAAGATTTGTAAACATCAGTTGTAAAGAACTTTGTATTCGGGTTTGTTTTTTTTGTTTCACGCAAAGTTAGGTATCACAAATATTTTTTTGAATGAGTCGATTGCTATTTCAAATTAAAGCACTTTCACTCGTGATTCGAATAACATCAAAAAAAATAAAAGTTGTCCCAGTGTCAAGAAAAACTGGTGAAAAATGTTTGAGTTTTACTTCTATATTTACGCGTTCATTTAGTTTTTTGAACACATATGACATAGAAATGACCATTCGAAGAAAAAAATTTTTTTTTGTAGTTTTTAAGAATGTGATCGAAACATTCTGTACTACTTGCACAGCAACCGGCTATCTTTATTTTTTCTCGCTTTTTGTGTTTGTCTGTATACGTAGAGTTTCTTTTTAGTCGTCGGGATTTTTCTCGTCGATTGTATAAGTTGATTTTCGAGTTAAGGTTGTCTTTTTTAGATTTTGGTAATTTTGAGCTCCATGCTAAAATTTAGCAATATCGCAACTACTATAGTAAATTACCACCATTATTGTCATTTTTTTCTTGTTTGACTTATAATGATTATGTAGGCATTAGATAATATAGTAAGAGAAGGGTAAAAAGTTCTGTTTTCCCTACATAATCGTATTTAACTTTTTTTTGTTCCGATCATTGAAAATGGGAAGGAATTTTTTTCGGATGTGTTTCCTTATATTAAAGCCCTTCCACTTGTAAATTGAACGACATTTAAAAAGTTTAAAGTCATTTTTTAAGTTTGCCAAGAAAAACCACGTTGAAACGTTTGATTTCAACGTTTGAAACGTTTGAAACGTTATATTAGCTTATTTATGCTTAGCTTAAGCCTTAAAACTTCGTTTCACTCGAGTTAAGTTAGCTGTATGAGTTTTTAGCGCGATTTGTGGAATCAAAAATTTCGAAAAATTAAAAAAGTATCAGAAAAAATTGGAATTTTTTTGTTATACTTCTCTAATTGTTTTCGAATTTGCTTGTTTTACTATGAATGACGAACATTCCTAAATTCTAGTTTTGCGTTCAGATCTTTTTATCACGCCACGCAGAAAAGAAATGACACTAATTTGAAAAAAATTTTGTTTTGTATTTTTTTAAGACTATGGTTGGAGCATTCTGTGTTACTTGCGCATTAACCGGCTATCCTCGTTTAAATATCCGTTTAGTTGAACTTTATCAGTTTTGATTTTGGGTGGATGTTTAAAGTTTTTGGTTCTGAAAACCTCGTATTTTTCAAGCAGGTTTTTTGTTTTAAAAGGTCTTTTGTTGTTTGGCTTCAAAAATGATCCGATCACACTAATATAAGAAGAAAAAAAAATAAAGAAGACATTCAAAATAAAAAATACGTTTTATTTTTTTCAGTTTTTTTTTATTTTTCGACAAAGTTTTATTTTGTTTGTTAAAAAATGTAAGAATGAAGAGTTGAGTTACGATAGCTATTGTAGCTTTAAATTTTTAGTAGACAATTATGTTGATTTTGTTAGAATCCGAATCATGACGGAAAGGGCTTTACTATGTTACTACAGTTGACTCCCCTTCCTTTACTTAGTCAAAACTCGGCTATAAAAAAGCACACTGTAAGTCATAGTTTTTTGCTACTTCGTGAAGTGGTCAGAATTATAAGGAAAATGTTACAATGTATTTGGTCGAATATTTTTGTGAAGCTCTTTTTAGCCTCAAAGCAAAAAAAAATTCCGTCTGAAAATTTATCGTTTTGATCACCGAAAGTGGTCCGAAGAAAAGCATGAATTGCGCTTTTGATATTGCAGACTATCGACATCCATGGGCGTCCGAGTGACAAGGGTGGCTTCGTGAACAACCAGATTTCGGACTGGTCCTTCAAACTGGATGGAGTATTCCACGATGTCAGCCAGGATTTACTATACGAAGTGACAGTGAAAGAAGTTGTTTCACGTGCATTCGCAGGATACAATGGTGTGTTTCTCTGTGTTTTAGTCTGCTCAACAGTTTTTATTTGACTTTGTTACATTTTTTTCTATTTATGAATTAATTTAGCCATAACAGTTTTTGATTTATAATTTTGATTTTGATTAATTACTCTGGTGTTTATTGGAAATTGTTATATGATTCGATGGCCACATCATGATTTAATTGGATAATTGAATGGACTACCTGAACGTTGATACTTGCAAGAAAAAGCGGTTGGACCAGAAGTACACATAGAGTAACTTATCAGTAATTCTGCTAAGATAAATTTCGAAAATGAGCAAAGGGGTCCGCAAAAATCTATTCTTTTTAATTCTGCGGAAGTCTTAATGAGTAGTCTATATAATTCTTTTTTGTTATGAGACTTGTTTAATAATTTTACATTTTATTCTTACTATTTAAACTGGAGATTTTTTTCAGGCACCATTCTTAGTTATGGTCAGACAGGTTCTGGGAAGACGTTCACAATGACAGGGGCCAATGAAACGTTCCAGAATCGGGGAATCATTCCAAGAGCCATCCAGCAAGTGTTTCGGGAAATAGGAGACATGCCAGACTATGCAATCAACATTAAGGTTTGATACATTTTTGTTTTCAACTTCTAGTGGATTTTATGCGAGTCATCAGATCCCGTGAAAAATCACCTTAGAAGCTTTCTTGATATTATAAAATGATATAATAATATTCTGTGACCTGATTGATAAAAGCTTCAAACCAAAAGACCCTCAATATAATTTGAAATGCGTTTTTCGGGATTACTTGTCCAATAATATTGAAACTGTTTATTTGCGCGAGACAAAACTAGCTTAGGATTTGCTAAAATATTTGCGGAGAACAGTTGGCTGTACCTTAAATTGTGCCCCTACATCTATAATTTTTTTATGCTTTTTTGAATGATGCTCAAACTTTTCTGCAATCGAAGTCTTCTTCGAATGTTCTTATAAATGTAACCTAATTTATCAGGTGTCTTATCTGGAGATTTACAACGAGGGCCTTTTCGACCTGCTAGCTGGGACTTCGGGAGGGAGACAGCAGCCGATGACCATCATGGAAGACGAGTTCGGTATCAAAGTAGTCGGCCTCACGCAACACATTGCCAACAACGAGGAAGAAGCCTTGAATCTCGTGTTCGAGGTGGGTCATATATTAGCATTTTTGATCTTGTTATCTTAATTGGTAAAGTTCAGCTAGCGCGGATCAAATCCTGAACTAAATTCACAAGTAGGCAGACTTGTTTAGATTTGATGTGTGCTATGGTGACGCTATATTAGACGCTAAATCTCTCTTCTGTTTTGTTTCTTTATTTGTTTTTTTTCTTCTTTTTAGTTCGTGTCGCTTAATTGCGTCTGTCTATACTATTTGTCAGCACTTGGTAATCCATTCGCGATTTGGGCTGCAATTTTTCAATTTCATCTATTTCTACATTTTTTCCGAGATAAATGTTTTTTTTTTGTAAAGTCATCTTATTAGGGAAATATATATAACTTGTTCCCATCTTGTTTCGTGATTAGGGGCAATGTTTTGGGATGAACGTGAACGAATAAATTTTGTTTGTTTCCAGGGAGAGACAACCCGGGCTATAGCGGCGCACCAGATGAACAAACACTCCTCCAGATCCCATGTCATATTCACCATTGTAGTGGAGGTATCAAGTCAAAGCCAATATCTTACGAACTTTCTAACTTAAGTTAAAAATCTTTAGAACGACTTAAAACAAGATATTAAAGATGAACCGAAATAATTCTCTTTTTCGCAATGGTTAATGAGATGATCAAGTGTATCAAAAACAAAACTATTTGAATGATTTTTTCAATTCTGCAAGAGAACTTTCGGAATTTCAAATGTATCAATAGCTACAGCTCTTTTAAATGTCTATATCTTTTTTAAGTTATTAGAAAGCGCAAGATTCTTAGCTCTTATTCTTAAGTTTGTCAGTTTATTTAAGTTTTTAAGTCGAAAAAATATTAAGCTTCAATGATTTTGGAAAAACTGGACAAACACCATGGGGTTATTATACTAGGCAAGATGCCGAACAGAGTCGTCTACAAGTTACACCGTGTCCAAGTTGAACTTCGTGGACCTCGCGGGATCCGAGAGACTTGGGAAGACCTCGTCTCAGGGGAGGACTCAGAACGAGGCCACGTACATCAACAAGAGTCTCACCTTCCTCGAGCAGACTATAATGGCTCTCACTGACAAAAAGAGAGAACACATTCCCTTCAGACAGAGCAAACTCACACATGTTCTCAAGGATTCTATCGGTCAGTTTATTATCTAGTTTAGTAAAATTATTTTGTAAAATTGGTGTCAGAAGCTGTGTATTAGATTTACTTGGTTATAGTGATTACCAAGTTTTTTTAGTCATTTCCAAATACGTTCTATAAATTTTCGTCTAATTTATTTTTGATTTTTTTTTCAAATAATCTTATTGATTTTTTAATAACGCTTGCTAATCGCAAGCGTAAAGATCTAGGCAAGTTGTTCTGCTGTTTGATTGAAATCTTTATAAAATTTGAATAGTTCTAATGAGATACCCCTGAGTTTTTGAGCACGTGGCTATTTATTTTTTACTTGCACAGGCGGCAACTGTCAGACCGTGATGTTTGCAACTGTGTGGGGGGAGGATAATCAGTTAGAGGAGACGGTTTCCACTCTCAGATTCGGAACCCGGATGATGCGAGTGCCGATCGCGGTGGCCGCCAACCAGGTGCAGGACCCCACTGCCATGGTCAGACAACTCGAGAAGGAGGTCAGTCTTAGTTCGATTTTCTTTCACATTGAGTTTCTTTTCTCTTTATTCCCCTCCTTTTATTAGGAGTCGATGAACGTAGTTCAGACTCTTATATAGGTCGCGATGATTTTTTTTCTTTTTTTCGCGGTTTGACTTTTGTTTCTTTTTAAGGTCACTTCCTTTCTTTTTTTGAAAGGAAGGCAAACTCCACTATCGAACAGCGAAAGTGTAATGGCAAAAAAAAACGTGGATGACTTCTAATTTCGAAAATGGAATTTAATTTTCAGATATCCCAGCGGAATAAAACGTTTATCTATAGATCCATTTTCTCAAATTTCAAATTGAGTTAATTTTTTATCAAAAAAGTGTCTATTATAAATTTTTCTTGAAATTAGAAGCGCTTTAAGGCCATGTATTTTTCTTTGAAATTTGAAAAATTGAAGTTTTTAGAAAGAAAAAACAAATTAACACTTTTTCTGTCTCTTTTCCAACTGTCAGTTAGCTAGATTTATAGTATTTTTCTTCTATTCCTTCTCTTATTTATTAGTATATTCTTCATAACTAAATCCCAGAGTTTAAAAGAAGTTACTTTAACAGCTGGATTGCGAAACTGGAAAAGACTGGATGTTTTGTTTCCTCCAGGTGCGTACTCTTAAGCAGGAGTTGACTATGCACGACACTCTGAACAACAAGGGGGGTCAGAACTACGACGCCATCACAGACTCCCAGATGGGGGAGATCCAGAGACAGGTGAAGGGATTCCTGTCCGGCTCAGTGGATACTGTGGACATCGTCAATGTGCGACAGATCCAGACTGTGTTCGGAGTATTCCGACAATTCTACAGGTGCGAAAAGCGAACTCTCAAATAATTGTAATGGTTCTTTTTCGGATGCGTTACTAAATGGGCTCGTTATTTCTTGCAGTGGTACTTCGTTAGAAATTTTGTAATTCTTAAACCTCTATTAGTGTATTTCACGTTCCCAAAACGAAATAAAATGGACTTTTTTGATATTTTATGCCTCTAAAACATTAATTTCAGAAAAAATACGAATTCAAGAATTCCTGAGTACCTTTGATCGGTGCGAATACTTAGCAAGACTGTCCTTATCAGGGTAAGGCCCTGAGTGTTCTGACTGCCTTTTAAGGTCTATGGGGCAGTGATCACACGAAAAAATTTAAAGGTAACGAAATAAAATGGAAAAAAAATTGTTTGTACAAAAAAAACCACCACGAGAACAAACATTCCGTTACTTTCGCTATGAAAGTCGAAACTATTGTGATTGTCAATCTTAAGGTTATTTATGTAATCCTGTTTTTTTGTAGGAGTCTAGAAAAAGACGTAGAGCAAAAATTAAAAGAAAAATACGAACTCACAGAGAAACAAGGCCAAGGTTCCGGAACTGCCGGTGAGCCCTCTGCGGGTGCACGAAAAGGCAGTGGCACGTCTCAAGAAGTGAGGCTTGTGGGTGAGTTGGACGGACAGGGTTTCTCTGTGGGTTTCGCTCCGCCGAGTAGCAAGCCACAGAATTCCAGCGTGGTGGAGCAGAAGAAAATTGAGTTGTCCAGTGGAAATCAAGGAACTGGTCCAGCCAAGAAGAAACAAAACAAGACGAGGTAACTTCTGTTTGCTAATTAGAAACAAACTGTGCTTCACTCTACGCGCGGGGTTATTTTGGTATCAGCGGGGTGGCGGGGTCGATATCGAAATTTATACTGAGCCACTGATTGATTATTACAGATATTTTTGCCTGTGAGATCGAAAATCGATTATTTCTCATAATGCAAAAATTCTTGCTTTTTATCTAGGGGTTGGCAATGATAAGTTTTAGGGATTTTTATAAGGATATTCAGATGGATACTTTAGGAAATGTTTATTTACCCAACAACCGATCCAAGTTTGGTATCATTACTGAATTCTTAGATTTTTTCAATTGTTGTCAATCAAAATAAACTGAGCTCGAGGGAGTGCTATCTAAAATCTCAATTTACAGCTGAATTTTTTTTCAAAAACTTTCCAAGTACTTTTCTATCAAAAAATTTGCAAATCTGGCTCTGAAAAGTGCGTTCTTGATTGAAACCAGGTTATGGGCGATGCTCAAAAATGTGCAAAAAAGTTTGTTACATTTTTTAGATCGAATAAATTGATTTTCATAGCTCTCAGATAACACTATAAATTTTTTGAACCACAGGCATATATTTGAAAAACAGGCCAAAAACGAAGTTTTTTCTGTGCATGGTCTCCCCTCATAATTATTAAATATACGCAACAAAGGTGACTGGAGAACAAAAACTTGAAGATTAGTTAGCGAAAAATAGATGCCAAAAAAATAGCAAATAGGGGACCTTTTTAGAGAGCTTGGGATCGAATCCCTGATGTTCGCATAAAAATTAGAAGTTTTGTGTCTGTTTCTGATGTTTAAGTACTTTTCCAGCTGTTTAAACCAATGGTGAGAAATTCCGTAAAAGTTAGATCTAAATTTTTTAAGCTAGATCGTGTGAAGTTTTGCTGTTTGAGGTGATCGTTTTAAACACACTATAATTTCTATATCAGATTGAAATAATTTCAAGTTTTATTCTGAAGTGGGATTCTCAAACAGTAAGTATCATAACTGCATTGCATTCTCCTTGGTTGTTACGCAGTCGGTTAAGTTTATTTGGCAGCTTTATTTTTGATGATGAACGTTTTGTCCGTATCCTCACGTGATTTACTGTAGCAATACCTTGCGATGGATTGAACATCAAAAACTGTAAAGTTTAATGAGAAGTTTTTAATGTTTGAGGAAAAAAGTATTTGTATAAAAAATTAATATGGAACTAAGCGACTATCATAACAATGCTAAAAGTACATGTTATCCTGTTTTGTTTTCTTATTGCACTCAATATTCAGTTTGATTTAAAACGCTCCTTATTTTATTTTCATTCGTGCTTAAACGTAATCTGGTATTTATTTAGTCCGAGAAGTAGTCACGACGTCTCGCCCAGTCGTGCGGGATCCCTCTCTCAAACTGCGGGTGGGGATGGAAAAGATGGGGCTGCTGGGTTGTCCCAAACGGGAGAGCGTCCCGCGACACCTCCACCCAGACATTTGGCCTTCGAAGATTTCAAGAAGGATGAGGGCGCCCAGCTAAACAAGATACTCAATGATAACAAAGGTAGTTAAACTAATTTTTAACCTTAGTTTTCGGTTTATGCTTTTGTTTTTGGTCGTGGTTTATCTTAATCAAGTCTGCTTGTGGACGATGAAAGTTGAGCGGGTTCAAAATAGTTTCATAAAAATTTAATCATGTGCGGATTCAGAGTGAGGCAGATATGGATGCGGATTCCTTAATCAGGAGTGTTCGTTGTAAGAAGGATAACTGCTTGAGCAAGCAGGTCGACATACACTAGTAAACGCGTTTGTTCACATTGAAGTAATTCTGTTCCCATTTTGATTGAAACATTGCCATTTATTTTTGTATCGCGTTGTGTGGAGCTGCGCGTCGCCTCTGTGCATAGTGAGCTTTCAGTTGAAGGTTAATGGCCATTACCATCTGATGTGATTGTTTGTTTGTTTTAGAAGTGTTGAAGAGTAAGATTAACCAGAGTAGGGAGATTGCGAATCAGATTAACGAGGTGAAGAGACGAATGGACCAGACCAAACACGACCTCAACCACATCGCCCAGGAGAGGGAGAACCTAGGTAGGGTATAGAGTCAGGCACTCACGTTTATAACCAAAGTAAGAAATTATAACGCATACTTTTTTGTGACATATGGTCAATCAAATTTTTCAGCCAACCCAAATCCCCTGAATTGTCTAAAAGTGAATGACAAAATTCTTCTAGTATTTCAAGTTCTTATTTCCGATTGGCTCAAACAACTGTCTCTCCTTTCTCCGTCTATCATTCAATCTTTGTGGCATGCGAAGTGTCGTGGATGATAATTTCATATAAAATTGAGGCTTCTTATCTGCAAGTAAGAACACAATCGTGAAAGTGTTACAAGCTATTGATAGCGCAAACCTCTATTGAGAACTTGATTAAAGAACACATTAAATTACATTTTCTATTTTCCCTGGGTAAATTTTCGCCTGACTTTAAATAAGTTCCTCCATCTGCACCCCCAACTGAACAAGGTCACAAGCGATGGTTTTGACTATCAAAGCATTTTAAATATTCAAACGAAATTAAAGTTTCCCACCGGGAACTCGTCTACCTGTTCGAGGTAGCAGCGGAGGCCATAGAGCCACGTTCTGCACTAATTTGCCTGAATGTACGCACGCGGATAACGCCATCATGACTTGGTGGCTTGGGCATTGGCGAGTATCGATGCTTCACACAGCAGTGATTGAGCTGTGGCTTCTTAACAGAGCTCTGATAAGAGCAGAGTGGACATCGTAGCACCTCATTACCTGTGCTAATGTCTTGGTTTAATGCGAAGGTTAGTCGCCTCACTAGAAGGGCTAAGTCTTTTGGTTCTGATGCTCTGATCAGTTTCACATGCGCGTGGCAATTTTGCATGTGCTTAGTGCATCGACTGACTTAGAGACATATGTCTTATTACAGTCCGGTAAGGGGCAGTCAAAAATGTTTTTTTTTAAGTTGTAAATTGCATCAGTTTTCTTCCTTTTTATCTAGGAGGTTTCCAGGGTCTGGAGGAGGGAAATGGAGACGGGTTGCAGGTTGTTGAGGAGGGGGAGTACGCGTTGATTCTCCGACTGAAAGATCTCAAGAGGGAGTACAGAGAGCACTACTCGGAACTGCAGAGGGTCCGATCAGAAGTCCAGTACTGCCAGAGACTCGTCGACCAGTGCAGACAGCGACTCATATCAGGTATGAAAATAACTTTTAAAAAATTGTTTTTTATTTTGTCAAACAGCTCACTACAATCGGAGCGTCTCTTAACTCTTGGAATCGAAAGAACGTGTAAAACGCATATAATAAGTTTTAAAGACCAAACTGTTTTTTTTTTACTTTTTCAAGCGTATGAGACTAAAATTCATGTACCCGATTAGTTGTCAACATTGACTCAAATGAGTTTATTTACGCTTTTTCAAATGTCTGTTAGCTTTGTTTATTGCCTCAGCTTGGTTGAGAAATATGTTACAAACAAATGCTTAAATCGATTTCCGATCTGACCTGGAAAAATGTCAAATAGTTTGGTTGCATTTAGGCACATCTTTATGATCATGTTGTCCTTAATCAGGCGCTGACTCTTAAATTTGAAACTTAAACATGGCATATTTAACTTTTGATTGAAGATTGTTCTGATAGTTAATAGCATCAGTCATGTACTAATTAAGTAATATCGTTAAAAAAATCAGCTGGTGATTTAATATTAAATTTGTGTCTAGATTTTGACGCGTGGTACTTACAGAGCTACTTGGGTCCCAATGTGGACTTCACCCCGACTGTGCAGACTAGCTATGGACAGGCACAGGCCACCACCATCTCCAACATACACGTCAGACATACATGCTAACTTTATACACTTTCTTTCATTTCAAATTTTTCTTTTTCATTTCATGAGTTTATTTTCTTCGGACAGTTTTGGTTGAATTCTATCTATTCAATTTAACACATATGGTTCTAATTAATGATTGACGTTACTATCAAGCCAAAACTTTAAATTACATCCAATAAAACAAGTCCAAAATTTGAACCTACTGTTCCACAAAGATTAAGATTTAACGACACAGTTCGTAATTTTTTCAGTGGGATCTTTCATCTGAGCGAGTAAAGTTCTTTTTGTGTCGGGTTCTGAAAATTAAGCTGATTTTCGGACAGATGATGAGTCTCGTCTCGAATTTGACCTGTTGCGACCTTGTGACCTTTTTCACATGGATAAAAACAGAGAATCTATGTTTACTTGCTTTCGATTCTATTCTCAACCTCGACCTGACTTGACCTTGTGTTTTGTCTAGGAGGACAAGGGGGAGAAATTGGAGAGGGCGCAGACTCAGGTGATGATGGAGGATGACCCCGAGAGCTTCAGCTACCACCGTGCCAAACGAACCTCCATACGCAAGGTAAACAAAGATAGTCGGTTGTCGTTTTGGTGTCTTTTTGTCCGTAGTTTTATAATATGATCTAAAGGAAAGTCTTAAACTAAAAGTATAATCCACAGTCCAAGTAAAGAAGAGCAAATGGGACAACAGTTTTTCGAAAAATGATAAGAAAAGGAAAACAAAAGAAAACCAAAAACTTAAAAAAAACTCTTTTTTTTTGCAGGAATTTTTAAAAGTTTTTTTTTTCAAAAAAAAATAAAAAAAATTCAAGAACTTACTGGATTAACACTAAAGTTTAAGGCTTGAATAGAAGTTTTACAGCTTAATCTTCTATAATCAGCCTGCTCGCTCACTCTACTTGCTCGAAATTCAATAATAACATTTTAAATCAGTTTTTCTCAACGCTGAGACTTTTTGAATTTTTTAAATTTGGTAAGAATCGCAATTAAAAAGGCTTTAATCATCTCACTCAACCCATTCGAACGATTATTTGTGTTTGCTGATTTTGCGTGGAAAACCAACAAAAATTAAACACACTCGAATATGAAGTTCCCATTTTCAAGGGTCGGAACAACAAACAGCACTCACTGGCGCACAACTTAAACAAAGTCACAGATCAAATAGCATTAAGTTTTGTATGATAAGCAATTAACTGGTAAAAAAAAGCCTTTTCAAACAAATAACGAAATGTCTAAAAGGTCTTGTTAGCTTCATTTTAAGTTCCTTTCTAATTGACCTTAATGTTTTTTTAAGAATAGCTCTTACAAAGTTCTAAGATTTGGTTAATATTGCTAATATTGACTGACAAAGTTGAATTTTCAAAATTCCGCAAATAATCTTGTAGTTTCAATTATTTTTTATTAGTGCCACACAGCAAATGCGAAAAAGGTTTGAATTGCTTCCCTCTTGAACACTGGCAGTTTCTGACACAGATAATCTATCATAGTCTCTTTCCCACATTTGAACCCAGTTGTCCCCTTGGAGGTGTGTGTTGTTTTGTAGCTAAAAACCGTAAAAAAATATGTCGGAAAATTGAACCAAATTTGACGAAAATGCTGAAACAAACCATTGAAAAATCTCAAATTTTCATCTGTTGCATGTGAGCAACTGCAAACGTTTCAGAAAATTTCTGGCAAAATTCTTCGGAAATTTTAAAAAATTTGTCTTTTTATACTTTGAATCTTCTGTTAGGGCTAGCCCATTAGCTGTAAATGATATCTGCTTTCTATTTTTAGTGTTCAGATTCTTTTTGCAATATAGTGATATTTTTTCACGTGTAAAATCTCCCACAGATCAATTTAATGAAAAAGCAATTGGCGTAATTTCGAAAATTTCTGCAACATTCTGCATGCAAAATCTTTTTTTTTTCAGGTAGAACCGATGTTTTGAAGTCAGTTGACAAATCAAAAGAAATCACAAATTGCCAAAATTTAGGAACTGCCTTTTTAATTACATTTTTCTGTCTGATTTCTGCCATTTTCTAGACGTCAAATTTTCTAACGTTGAAATATCAATTCTGTTATTAGTACAACCAGAGTAAGACTCAGAACCAGACTGTGCACAATGACGGACTCATTATGCCAGTGAAGAAGCCAACCCAGATGATCCTCACAGCACCCTACTGACCCCAGTAGACCTCAGTTGACCCCCGCGTATAACAGTCACGTGGCATTCATTGTAGCATCAGAAGATCTGAGTTTAAAAATACGAAGAATTTGAACTTAATTAATCGTGTCTAGCAAGGAAACTAAATTGATCAGTGCTTTGAATAATCATATCAGGAAATCCATAAAATTTTTCCATTTTGGACATTTTAATTCAATTTAGCTGTCATGATAAACGTTGAATTCTAGTTGCAATTATCTTTCGATCGGCGAAACTTCAAAAACGCAATTCATATTTGGCAACGCATTTAGGCCAATGCATTACTCACTAATTCTAAAGTTGAGCGTCTTCATTCACTCGAAAAATCTAAATAGCACGGTCAGAAAATATGCAAGGTAATAGCAAAAAATATTTTATCTCTAATGGTAATGAAATCTACAGCGTTTCATTACAAAAATGAGACTTAGGTAGGGGGTGTACCTAGAATTTTCTCGAGGACTCATCTTGTATTGCTAAAAAGAATTGTTGATCCTATATTTGGTTCGAACAAACAAGCATTATTTTTTGCCGAATTTTAATTTATAACACCAAAAAACCAGGTTACAGAAAAACAACGACATTGAACACATTTCAAAATACTGTTTGTTGCTCGCTGGCTTTATATCGGTCAATAGTACAAATTTTTTTCCGCTGATCTCGACACTGAGAAAATCTTCGTCAAATTTTTAGTTACTGATTGAATGACGATTGGAAAGGTTTTACTACGATATCACTCACCCAATTTAATGACTATTTGTGGAACCTGATTTTATTTGGAAAAAATTAACAAATAAGAAACAAACCCCCTGTTTAATCTTATATTGATCATTTTTTGATCAGGTATTTGTAATGATTCCAACTTTCGAAGAAAATGACAGAATATTTGTGCTCGCGTAGTTTTTTTCAGACATTTTTCAACTTTTAGTCCATTTGGCTGAAATTTTTTGAAGTCATCATGACAATGTTGATGCAGTGAGCTCAAAATTGAAAAAAATATATCACCTCTGCTTGATCTTCTTACGTCTGGGGTTTAAAACTTGGCATTTCGACATAAAAGTTTGAGCTATATTGCATTAACGCGTAGCGTAAGCAATAAGTTAATCCGACTTAGACATTCTTTCAAAAATGGATTGGATTCCCCGGAAGTTTTTCCAGTTACCCTGGAAACGCAGTCGGAACACTCTAAGTTTTGGCCTAATTCGAAGATTTTTTTGGTTTTATTGCAAGTTCAAAATAGTTGCTCTTCAAACAAAAGATGCTCAAAGAAGAAGTTATTCAAGACTTGAACATACGTGGTATAAATTGGTTCAGTGTTTGGTGGCAAAGTGCTCATTATTTGCTGGCCCTTTTACTATAATCACGATCTGTAGCATTGGAAATTTCATAACATCTGTTCACTGCTTTGTTTGAGGCAAGTGTTCGTGAACAATGAAGCGCTTGTGGCTGAGTGATTAGTGCGTGAGATTTTAATACTCTCTATCGCCGTAGGTCTTTGATGGAATCCGAGACCTAACTGAAATTTTAAAAAATTCTAGGCTTATTTCTACTTTTCTTCTTGAGCTTTATACAGCTGATTTTTGTCATGTTCTCGCTAGTGTCTGCGAAGCACCACTTCGCCTCTGTGTAAACCCATAAACTGATATCTTATAGCGAGTAGAATTAATGAATTATTTTGCTGGTGTAATTCATTATTTTGCTGGTGTTGACCTATTGCGTTTGTGTGTCGGAAGCATTGAGAAATATTTCTACAATTCTCAAACTTTTCCACATGCATTGCGATCGACCTTCTTTCGCATCAAATGTTATGGCTCCTTGTGACATCTCCTCGCCAGGCGTTCTGCCCACAAATTTTTTAAAAATGAATTAAACATCCCTTATGCACTTAAGGCTGACTTATTTGGTGAGGTAATCTCCAGCCTATAAAGTTTTTTCCGAAAAAAATTTAATTATAAGAGATATTTTTTGGGCGGAGAAGTTTCTGTGAGCTACAGAGGCTTCCAACCTCTCTAATTGAACTTTAATATTTTCCTAATTTTTTTAACCACATATGAAAACCGTTTTGAAAAATGACTAAAAAAATTTTGTTTTTATTTTTTTAGACCACCAAAGGCCTAAACCAGAAGTTAATTTTTTTAACATATCGCAGCAATCGAACTGTGATTGGAATCTTCAAAGACGTTTGTATATAAAAAAACTGCTTTCAATTCGTTATTAGAACGCTTGAATTATACGTGCAAAAAGTTTCTAGCGGCGTCGAAAATTTTTTTGTTTGGGAATTTTGTAATTTGAGGAATGATCAGCCGGATATGCTTCAAACAGTAGACCAATGTTTTTGTCGGAAATGTTTTGGCAAATCGCTTACTACTGCGATAAAATTATTAACTACTTCAGTTTCACGCAATTAATCAATGCTTTAACTGAACAGAGGTTGTTCAAAGCATTTAAATCTGTGTGCAGAATGCCTGACGAGGAGAGGTCACAAGAAGCCATAAATTATAATGCGGAGGGATGCCATAGAAGGGCTCCGAACCCACCGCGCAGGTGGATGTGATGACATACCCCCTGAGCTCTACAAAGGCGGTGGAGAAACGTTCGTTGGCCTAATAGAACTGCCACTGGACAGCATATGGAGAACAAAACAAATCCCGGAAAATGGAGGGTATCAATCCTCCTGTCATTCCACAAGAAGTGCGACTCACAAGTATGCGCCAACTATCGTGGGATATCGCTGCTTTGCATAGCTTTCAAGGCCCTGGAAACAATATTGCTGGCATGACTTACCGAAGCATACGAGCCCCACACCCGAGACAATCAGGCGGAGTTTAAAAAAAGAAAAGCTGTCGCGATCGAGCCTTCGCTCTCCGACAGATCCCGGAGCAACGAAATGAGTACATCATATCAACGGTTATGGTAGTTATCAGTTACCGATTTCAAAGCTGCCTTCGACAGCGTCAAGCAAGAGAGATGCCATCTGGCAGCTTCTCGAGAATCAAGGCCTACCATGCAAACTACTCAACATCATAAAAAAATTGTACACGGACACCCCCAGCTGGGTGAAAAAGAACGGCATGCTTTCTGATCTCTTCCTCGTCAACTCAGACTGGGCCTTGAACTTCTTATCGACTGGGCCTTGAATTGTGCAACAGACGGTACAAACAATGGAATCACGCTGCAAACAGTCATCTCCGATCTGGATTTTGCAGATGACATCTGCCTACTAGAGGACAACGCCGCTTATGCACAATCCCTACAAAAGAAAACGGTCGACGGCGCAAAAGAAGTCGGCCTCTTTGTCAATGCCAGCAGGACCAAGTGCACATTTGACCTAACTGACCCAGTTGTGCTGTTCCTCGACAGTTTACCGCTTGAAAATGTCACTGAGTTCGTCTACCTCGGAAGTCGGATACCGTCCGACGGTAAAATAGCAACAGAAAAATGAAACAAAATCGCACGCGCCACTGCCAATAGCTCTAGATTAGCAAAACTCGGGAAGAACAAGGAAACGACGAGAAACACGAAGAACAAAGTATAAAAGGCCTGCGTAAAGAGCGCTCTGTTATATGCTGTGGAAGCATGGACTGTCAAAAAATCTGACCTTCAAGACTTGAGTAATGGGAAATAAGATGCGCAAGATGCTACCTCGGAGCAGGCCCTGATCAAGAGGCCTCCGCAGTCCGCGCAGCTGCAGACCTTGGAACATCCCTGCACTCTCAGCTGCGAAAGATGCGACTAAGATGATGTGGCCATTTACTTCAAATGGGCGAAGAACGAGTAACTCGAGAAGCATTAATGTTTGAAAAAGCTCAGTCATGGAAACCGGGTGGCCTCAGAACAACATGGAGAATGAACGTCCGAGAATGAGGCACGATATTTGGAAAAAGGCGTGGAAAGATATAAGCTACGAATTGGCGTGTGCTACGAATTCGCGAATAAACTACGAATTCGCGAATTTGAGTGCTTAGTTTTTGGAAATTTGCCTCTCATTTTGAGATGATTGGCTGAAAATGAGGCAATGTAATATATAACATCTGTGGAACAATTCAAAGATGCGGTTTCGCAACTGGTGCATAAATCTCACACTCGCGCACCCAAAAATTTGCACCAGCTGTTTGATGCAGCTTGAAGCTGTGCACTTTTTAAAATAAATGTGTATGAAACGTTTTTAACCAAAAAACATGTTTTCTTTTAAAAAAAATTATAAAGAATTGACTATTCGAAGTCAAAACTACTAAGACTACTATTTGGATTGCCACAAAGTTTTGCAGTAACAGCAGAAATATTTTTGGCTCCATGAAAATTACTCAAAAAACGTCAAATGTAAGTAAATCAGTTTGAACTAAGAGTTATTGAACGTCTAATTGTTTGCCAGCTGATTGTAAAATGGTTAGCAAATATACTAACTGATCAAAGTCCACCAAGCGAGAATGGAGATTTTAACTTACCAAGAGTGCAACCAAACCGTGAAAGAAAAAGTAAAACTATGGACTATGCGGACATACATACAATCATGGCCATATCTCAGTTTCAAAAACAGACAGAAATTACCTGTTTTTTATCTCTACGTTTTCTTACTTGCACTAAATATTTATTTTGTGGTAGAGCTGAACATGTTGTCGTCAATCATTAGTGCCTATTTAGGCTTACAAGCGTACACTTACGTATCTACGATCATTTATGCGTACTTGCAATTTCTTGGTGGCCACCCGGAAAACTATGTCGAAGATTTCGATGAGTATTTTGCGCGGGATTACAACGAGCTTTTTATTTGTGCCGACGACAATAATAACCTTCTCGGCTGTGTAGCTATGACAAAACAGACTTCCGAGTATTCTTCTATGGAACTTCGTCGAATGCGAGTTGACCGAAAAAGCCGAGGGACTGGACTAGCGACCAGACTCGTGGAAAAAGCCGAAGAGTTTGCGAGGAGTCGCGGAGAATCACGAATTGAACTTGCGACAACTTGTGATCAAGTCGCAGCGCTGAATGTGTACAAACGACATGGATTTAAAGTTACAAAAGTGGAGCCAGGGGGTCGAATTGGATTTCTTCCCGGCATCGGTTTCGATATGGCTTATCTGGCGAAGGATCTGAACTAATAAACTATGTATACTCTCAAAAAAGATATGTAAATAGATATATTTTAAATTTTATAACTAAGAAACACGACACAACATCTTATTTACGCTCAATTA